AAGCTAGATCGATAGCTATGCTTCCCGTGCCCTCGCTACGCCAGCGTGCCGCGTGCCGCTGGTGACGCTGGTGAAGCTAGATCGATATGCATCCTCTCTTCGGCACTGCCGCTGGCGTACGCTGGAAGCGCTACGCTACGCTGCCGCAAAGTATAAACGCAGCCTAAGGTGCGGCTTCAGCCTACTCTTCGTTCATTTTTGAGTTCCAAAAATGGGACGGCTTGCTCGATCAAAACATATCGGCCATTATATTGAGCCTTCAGGTCCAATTAGACGTGTAGACGCTTTGTAGACACCAAAAGACGCACCATTACCCCTCCAGGATTGGACGATTGTACGAATCAGCGAGATAAGGCTGCGCAAGCGAAATACTCGAGACAAAGGGAGAAAGAATAGGAGGCGAACTGGTAGACGAGCGACAGGGCAAATTGTGGCCCTGTACTGAATTAACACAATTCGTGGCATATTTCGCTCCCAGATGAGTGAGGCCTCATTACCGGATGACGTATCTTCGATGTATGGTGACGAACCGGCGCAGTTCTGCGACTAGGGGCATTTTGCACTTTTGCTACTTCCCATCGACGTGTCGACCCATCTAGACAGCCTCTTCTCGAGTTGACAGGTTTTACCATGATGGCTTGACGACCTTGCTCCAGCTTCACAAGAGTTCACAGGTTTCACCAGAGTGAGACTTGTAAACCAGAACTAGTGAAGCAGCGAAAGTGCAAAATGCCCCTCCCTCGTCGCCGAACTGCGCCCATAGCACCCTCGCCACCACTATCGAGCTGCCAATGTAGGAAACTTTTAGATGCGAGCCAGGCTTCCTTGTACAAGGAAGGGAATCTATTGCTGAAAATTTTTTGGCCAAAGCAAATTACCATACCTTTGGTGATTGAGTCTGTTGTAGAAGACTGTACGAACCAGTGGCGATCGTTCGAAAACTATCGCTATCTGACCCGCGCACCGAAGGATGTCCCCGGTATGCCGTCACTCCCAGTGCTCCGACCAACACGAGCTGGACAGCTGCATAACTGGAACTGAATTTATCCTCTTTAAGTAAATCACATGTAGATGGCCTACTAGATAATTAACAAACCTGTCATCAGCTCCTATAAGCACGTCACAAATCAGACCCATCCCGTAGTAAAACCAGAACATGGCCACGGTTGTCTGTAAGATCCCAATTTACTTGATGGTGAGGATTTAAATTTAAAAGTTGCCAAATATCCCGCTAACTGATAACACTGAACTCCTCACCACGCTGCATAAGTTGCTAATTATCGTTATTGATTGCTAGAATTCTGAAGGTGAACATAATGGCAGGCACAAGAGTAAAGACATGGATCACTGTCTGAATGTCCAAAATTCTGTGTGTTCTGGTCTGTATAGTGTACTCACAAAATCAAAGACCAAAATTCGGAGCGGAATATCAACTTTTTGGCGGAAAATCCACCGTGAAATAAACATCTATTCGTAATGAAGTGAGCAATTTTATGAAAGATTCGACTTTTGGTTAACATTCTTAGGCTTTCTACATAACCTCTAGAGTCAGACACTAAGCTGTCTGTTTTCCATACGAACTCTTTCTAATAAAATGCTCAGTCGTTCATGAGCGCGGCGGCCCCTGGTTGCATAGCAGAAAGAGGTTAGGGGGCGCGAAGTTTGGCAGACCGCTCTTCAATCTACCGTCGTGTTGTCTTACCGAAATGATTGCTTCGCTCGGCTTATACATCCAGTGTCGTCAGCCATCGTCGTTCCATCAGTCGCTGAATTTTCCACATCCACCATGAGTAGTGCCAACGAAGAGCGACGTAGGGTCCAGCCGAATCAGTTAAGTAATGAACTAGAAGCTGAGTACCCGAACCACCTGGACAGCCGGAGGGAGGATGCTCCAGTGCGCTTAGTGACCTGTCTCCTCGTGCCCATTAGGCAGGGTTTACCCCCCCACCCCCACCCTAGAGCCGGCTAGGCCTGTTTCATTCATAGGTTCTTTTTACTGCGCTGTTTCATAGCTCACTTGGTTAGTCAATAAGTAAATTGCCTAATCCTTGTATCTGCGATTTATAGTCACTATTGGTTTTACATCACATTTCTTGGTGCAAGATATACAAGCTTAGATTATATCTGGCATGTCGGCTGCCAGGTTCCCAGTCGGAGGTAGTCGTGCAAGCAGTCATCCTCAGGTGAGGCCCGTGGACGGGGCTAGGTAAGCGGGTTGATATCATGTACGTGGCTATAGAGCTCACCGCGTAAAAGCCGGAAGGGCCTACAGGTTGCGCACAGCCACAACCCACCCGTGTGGCAGCACCATTAAGGCTAGTGCGAGGCTAAGCGCTCCTGAATTCCCCAGCCACATACCTGTACTGGACACGGATCCACCTCCACACCGCAGATATCCGATTATCGTGTGATCAGCCCCATTTTTTTTTCCTTTCCTTTCTGGTCTATTGTTTGACACTCACAGCCATGACCGACAGGTAACTGACTTCGTGAACTTTTTTGAATCTGTTATGCAGATCTTTCCGTAGCCATTATAGATCCGAGTTGGTGGTCTATGGGAAGTGAGTTAAGGTGACGACCCACACTGTCTTTGCCGTCACCTCGCAGTACTTTCTCGCTATCCAAACGGTGAATTCAAAATCCACATTCTTCGCACACGATTTTATTAAATGAATCTCCACGAAGCCACAACGTGGTTGGAGCCACAGCGGCATTTCTCTGAGTTAGGTCCTCATAGTACCTTCCACAGTACGGCGCTGAAATGACCCGGTCGCTTCCGCTTGAGTGACTCCTATCTGGGAGGAAAAACTTCGTCCAAGAAGGCTACCTTCTTGGATTTGGGCCTACTGTGTTCCTTGATTAAAACCTATTCGTACAAATCAAATTGCTACCTAGTCGAATTACACTGACTGTCCAAAGACGAATTAGAGAGGATCCCTATAGAAAGTTATGAAGTTCGTCAAAACTTTTTTATGGGTTGAATAATACTCCAAGGGAGCACACGGTGATAATTCTACAGCTTCTTCCGCTTCCGCCGTCCGGATCTGGATTGAACAAGCGCGTGCTTAATTGGATATGGAGTAGGATCTCTAGGGAATCACTTCCGGGAACGCCAGAGCGCTAGATCCCAGAAAGGGCAGAACCTGCCCGCCATCCTATCAACTCCAGCTACGCGTTTATCTCATGTATGTGTGGGTTTCTTTCTCCCTCTCTCAAAAAAGAAACGACGCTCGAGATCCTCGAAGCTTAGCTGGGGAATTCGTGTAGCCCTGACTTAGCTCTTTCCGATCGCCATCTAAACTAATCCCACAGCGGCCATCTTCTGGGTAAAAAATACGACCCAGCTGCCTTTCTGGGCACAGAACCAAGAAGCTTCTGGAAGCAAGGCAACCACACATTGCGTAGTGATTGGCAACAAGTTGCCAATGAAGGTAACATATATATTAATGATCAAAATTGCTTCTCACTGGAATAAACTTAACTCGAAAAAAATGTTCGAAAGTTTCACGAACTTTTGGGACAACCTAATAGTAGTTTCTTTTTTGCTGTTTTTTGAGACATCAAGATGAAGCTATTTAGTGATTGGCCTAATGTATCGACGCAATTGTCTTCTCTAGAGGTACGTCCTACCAAGAATGAGGGGAACGGCTTTTGCCTTGTGTACCCCAGAAAAGAAACGTTACGCTGAATTGAACACTTCATCCGGGAACCAAGCACAAGAACACCAGCTCAGGTTGTAGTGGGTTTGCATTACAACAAGATTGCCCGCTAGGACACTCGTCCTAGCGAGCAATCTTGTTGTAGCAATTTCTGTTTTTATTTCGTTTGCGAACATGGCTTGCCTTCCATTCGTGCACCTCTAGGTGTGCCTTGAAGGCAGTTGGCACGATGGTTTCCTACTCGGCCTAAAATGCTAGTAGGGCGCTGTATAGTGGGGAAATGGCGAAAGAACGGAGTGAAACGGTCAAAATCCTGCGAAGAAAAGCCTCCGTTCTCAGTGACTTGAAAATCGATTTCGGACGAGTTTCCCGTAGGCATCTTACCAATCACCGCTACCGAAGATACGGCTGCCCATATATGCATGCAGCATCACGGCCGCTTCATAATTTGCTTAGCAAATGAATGAATACGAGCGTCAGGAACGGTCGTCCATTTGTGGGCGGGCGGGCGTGGCGGGCGTTTGGGTCGGAATGTTGTGGCTTGATAGGGCCCTTATAAGGGCACCTTTCCTTGGAAAAGGCGCTATGCAGCGCCTGCTCAGGGTCGCGGAATTCCGTCCTGCCAGGCGTATTGATCCTAGTCGTCTTTGGGGATCGTGCCAACTGCCTTTAAGCCCTTCGTGAATTGGCTGCGATCTCTAGCAGACCTCTGGAGAGTTAACAGTTCGAGGTCATATGTCTAGTTGATATCGTTTTAGTCGCCGCAGTCCGGCGGGACGGTACGAGGAAGCTTGGAATGAGACTACCCGCGGCTGCAATCTCTGGCAGTAATGGTCAGGTCACGCAGAATACAGA